GCCTCTTCACCCCCCTAGATCAGCTTCTCCTCCTTCTGCGACGAGTTCAACTTCTCTGTCTGTCTCTCATCCTCCGCCGTTGCCGCCTCCTCCCCTGTCTCCGGCTTCCTGCCCGGGGCTGGGGTCTCCCCAGCAATGGTCCCCAGGACTTTGGTGCTGTGCTCCTGAGCTTTGGCCCTGAGGGCGGCAATGCTGTTTTCTCTCAGTTCTTCCTGGGAAATGGCGGTTTTGGGATCCGGGCCCCTCTCTTCCTTGTCACCCTTGTCAAGCTTGGGCAGGGCCTGGCGCTCCACCTCCGTCTGCCTCCCCGCTTCAGCCGCTGCCTCCAGAGACTTTTTGTGCATCCCTAAAAAGAATTGTTGGTATTCGGGTTTAGAAAAGCGCCTGGGCATGGGAAAGCCATCTTGAACTGAAAACAGCAAAGATAAAGAGAGGCCAGAATTAAGGAAAAGCAGAAACCCTCGCTTCACGCAGCAGTCACGGCGAGACGCTCCCTCTGGCCCCCACGCGAGAGCGGCCCAGGCAAGGCAGCTGCCTGCTGGGGCAGCCCGGCTCCAGCACCCGTGGCCTCCGGGCTGCCCCCAAAGGTCTACAATTACTCTCCCCTTCATTTCTTTCTGTGAACCTAAAGCTAACTTGTCCCTGTATGGGGACGAGGGTCTCAGACAGCAGCACAGCTGCCTGAGTTTCACCAAGGCTGGGGAGGAAGATCTATTGCCTATTCCTGTATCAACCCGCTCCTCACACAACCCACCCCTCTGCCTCTCTCTGTTTCACACAGATAGGACAGGACAGCCCGTCATCAAGATGCCAGACATTAGTTTTGGGGCAGAACCAGCCTGAAAGGTCAGAAAGCGGGAAGCAAAGAGCAGGAGCGTGGTAGGGTAGCTGCTACCTCCGTGTCTGCACAGAAAACCAAGCAAAAACCAGGCAGAAATGCAGCTCCCCGAGGTACTGAGAGCAGGAGGCAGCAGCGTGTTTCCCCTGGGACTTGGGGCAAGGAGAGAGCATTTGGAGGTCTCGGCACCCCACTCAGCATCATGGGGCTGGGGGAATCTGACTGGGATGGCCTCCTGCCTTGGGGAAGGGTTGGAACCCCTGCTCCGGGGCGGGGCACAAGGGATGCTCACACCATGGGAGTTGAAGGCTAACACCAGCCTGAGCATGAGGGGAAAATTCCTGCCTTGGAATTTTCCTGCAGGTCAGGATTCAAGGACCAGCAGCGATTTGGAATGAGTGGTCGGACGCTATTGACGAGGGCCGTTGGGGAACAAGGGGGTGGACGGCAATGGGACAGGGGGACCTTGGCCTGCTGCCCTCCACCTGTGTTTTCAACACAGCTCCAGTTTCTTCCTCGCATCCCCCTGCTTCGTCTCAACCCACTTGCCATTCCCCATGAAGGTGGCTGCTCTCTTACCCAGGAGCCAAGGGGCGCAGGACTCCATGATGCCATCCTTGGCAGACTTGAGGATGGACTCGGGCAGTGGGATGGAGTGACGCACCATGGCACCGTAGAGCCCGTACTCAGCCATCACGCTGCTCCTGCCCCAGCACTTCTCCCTCTTCCGCCATTTGGCCCGGCGATTCTGGAACCAAACCTGGGGCAGGCAACAAGGAGGCACATGGGTTTTTTAGAGGGAGAAGATCCATTCCCTTCCCACATGGGAACTCACATGTGTTTGTGCAGCGGGATGAAGGCAGATGCGTGGGAGCTCATCCCGAAAGCACTGCGACCTCTTCCCCCCATGCAGCAGCCCCCGGGTACCTCTGCATCCTTCCCTTGCAGGAGCGGCGAGGACCAAGTGTGAGAGCAGGTCCCATCCCTCTCCTCAGGATGTAATTAATTTGCCATTGTAGCATCTTTTTCTAGGGGCTTTTGGCTCTCGTGCCTGGGATTTTCTTTCACTATTTACCAGGTGTCTGAGCTGCAGCATGGGCTGCCAGCAGCGGTGCCTGCAGGGAGGGCTGGGATGGGGGCGGATGCTCAGGAGAGGTGGGAGAAGGGGGAAGCTGATCTGTGTGCTTCGCCCTGAATTCCCAGTTTGAAAAGCCCCTCATCTTCTCAGAAAATTGGCAGAATAATCTCTGAGCTGTGACCTGGGGGGCAGTGAGCAGAGAGGCGGGTGGCGTTGGTGCGGGGGCGGGGGGGGATGCTCACAGAAATCTATTAGCGCTCTCTCTCCGATTTCCATTCCTCTTGTCTCCCTTGCCCTCCTCCCTCCCTGGCTCCCCTCCCTTCCCACCGAGCAGAGGCATCAGCTTTAGATGAAAAATTGCTCGAGGTCTATTCAGAAGGAGGCAAAGGAAGAGTCAGCCCCAGGGGCAGCCCAGGCCTGATTGAAAAATAAGTTAATTTCAGTTTGAATCGATGGGCCTCAGGCACTGAAATATCACGGGAAATTAAAGCAGCTGGTCCCTAGGGAACCACGCCATTGACCTGCGCTAATTAATGCCATGGAGTTACCAGGCCCCTCTCTGAGAGGCAGCCCCTCCCTCCCTGCGGACACCCCAAACACCTCCTCATTTAACTAATTAGACTCACAGAAAATTGGGTGTTAATTTGTTTAGGATTTTTTTTTCTTTTCTATTTTTTTCCCTTCCCTTTCCCGGAAAGTACACGGCAGAATGGAAATGAATGGCGGGGTCTCGCTGGCAGATGGATGCTCGGGGTCACTCCGCAATCTTCTCCGACTTGATTGCTTGATTAGGTCGTTAGCACATTAAAAAAAAAAATTGCTTGCCGTCTGGCGCTGGCCTGATGAGTGGGATGAGGCGGGAATCGCCTGGGTAATTTATCTTTTTATACTGCAAAGAATTTGATTTCAATCTGCAGATATATGGAGGTGCCTTTGACACCTGTTTAACGTTACAGAGCTGACAGCTTAACCCTCTCTTGTCCCCACTGCCCTTAGCTGTGGGGGAGCTCAGGCTGCCGTGGGGAGCACTGGGGGAGCACCAAGACCCCCAGCTCTGACGTGGGGACCACAAGACTGATGCCGCAGAGCGAGGTCCTGCTCTCAGCTGGCAAGGCAAGCTTGCCTCTTCTACCTGTGCAGAGGGGAACTGCCCAACACCCAAGCCTTACAGGGACAGAGCCGCAGGGAGGGCAGGTGGCTTGCTAGCGCTGGTGACAGCCAGCCTTGGCCGTTCCGGGGAGGCCAGCCAGCCTGGCCCTGCAGGGAGCTCTGCGGGGTGGCTGGGGTGGTGGTCCCAGCGGCTGTGATCCCAGCTTCTCCCAGCAGAAGACACTCTGTGCATGTCAGAGAGGATTTTACAACCAGGCTGCTTCACCACACGTCACCTCCTCTGCATGATAAACAGTCTGATTTACACTTCATACTGCTGACACGTAACCATGGATGGCTGCGAATCTACCGGGGCCTGAGCAAGGACCCTCAGGAGTGCACAGCCTCCTTCTCTGCCCGCTCCTCGATGCCTGCGTGACACACGGGTTCGCTTGGCCATGCAGCCAGCAGGATGCTGGCAGGGTCTCCCACTCCAGGCCATCCACTCCTCCCACTCCCAGAGCCCGCAGGGCAGAGCTGGAGGGGACTGGCTCGCTCCCTTTCCAACCTCAGCACAAACCCCTGTGGTTCCTTCTCACCCACCAGACCGGGGTGGCGGGGCAGCCACCCCCAACACCTCCATGCTGCGAGAGGGCAGCTCGACCCACTGGGGCCAGGAGGGGGGTCCTGCCTTGGATAAACCAGTAGTTACGTCCCTTGCTGCAGAGCTCCTCTCTGTCTCCCATGGCTTCAGGGAGAAATTCCTGCACAAGGCAAGGGACGGTGCCTGCAAGTCTGCCTTGGTTTGGGGCTGCAGTGGTACCTTTCCATGCACCCATAGTGGCTTGCAGGACTCAGCTCTGCACAGCTCTTTTTGTCACCAGTTGCCACACTTGGGATCTCAGCCTGGAACAGGTTTTTCCATCAAGCACCAATAGGGCAACTTTTAAAATTCTCCTCATTTCTCTTTTATCCAGGTGCCTCTTCAATGATGGTTTTACCACCTCTCCTTTGCCCCTCCCTCCTGTCTTGATGCCCCAAACATCTTCCCCCATGCCTCATGCTCCCCTGCCCTTCTCCCTGACCAGGTCTCAGCTTGCCCCAGTGCTGCCCACTAAACCAGCTGCCCTGGAGCATCCCCTTTCCCACGGCAGAGCCACGCAAATGCTGGAGCCAGCAGAAGCTTTGCCAGCTGGCAGCCTAATTTTGACTAGAGACGGTGGAAAATTTTCAAGCAAAAAATGCTGATTCAATCACACAGGAAAAACTGCGTCTGGCCAGTGGAAATGTAATCAAAATTATCTATGGCTTTCCTCTGAATGCTGTATTTTAATCTCGGCTGCTTAAGACATACAAAATCTATGCTTTAAAGCCAAACAGGAAAATGAAAATGGCATCAACACCTCAGTAAGATCATTCTGAGATTTCCCAAACCAATTTTTGTCATTTGATGGGAATTTCCTCTTGGTTTTGACTAGGAAAAAGGAAAGTTTGAAATTTCTAGCAGAACAGAAATCAGGAGGACTGACCATCTTGCTTTAATACCAGGAGCTTCATCTCAGGCACGAAGTCAAATGAAACCAATGGTGCTCAATACTGAATATTGCTGGGATCAGACCCCAGCCCAGCACCTCTGCCAGGAGCAGCTCCGAGGAGCATGGAGGGAGGAGCTCCAGCACAGCACTGGCAACCCCCACACCATTTCAGATCAGCAGAATTATTCTCTGTGGCCCGTTCTCAGGATTTTGCCCTCATTCAGATGTCTCCATCAGCGGGACTTTCTTCTGGGAGAAGTTCTCACTGCTTTCTTCAAATTTCTTGACGTGTTACCAACGCTCTCCTGTGCCTTGATTCTGAGATGAATTACACATCAGTTTTAGTAATTCTGAGGTATTTTCAGCTATGTTAGTACATCAGCTGCAACTTCCAAATATGCAGTTATTTATTATTTGCACCTCACTTTTCCTGGAGAGGGTTTCACCTGTAAACTTACATTTACTCACAGTTTTGGTAGTCTGTGTCTTCTTTGGCTGTTCGTTGTCTTTGCTCGGAGATATTTACTCTATAACTTCCTCTGGATCTGTAAAATTCAGTGTACTTCAAGCAACGTTTAGGTTTTTCCATGTTTCCTCTTGACCCTTCCCATCACGTGGATCGGCCCAGCCTTGTGAAATGCTTTATTGACGTGGCTGTGTACCATGCACCTTCCTTCTCACTTGCTTTCATCTGGTTCTCCGTTGCACAGCCCAGGGTGTGGTGAAAAGACTGTGTTTGTGCTTTCACACTTCACAAGCAGCGGTGAAAACTCCCGATTTGTTTTAGACACGAGCACATCAGATGTTTGTGCAAAGCTATCGCAAGCTGATGCACAGAGGTGTCTTCTGGATCAATGTGCTACACCTTAAGATGATTTATAGCTCTTTATTATCACACGAGCACCCATTGTGAAACATGGGAAGCTTGTTCCAGGAACCCTATCCTCAAAAAATGGACAACAGAGTAAAAAGGATAGGCTTGTCTTGCTATCCACCAGACACGTTAGCATCTAAATTCAGCCCATGCTTGCACATTTGCTGTTCAACAGCCCAAAGCCCTCTCCTGGGCTGCTCCTGAGGCTCCACAAGTGCTGCCCTTGGCACACCGAGGGCTGGATCTGGGGTGGTCACTGCCCGTGGCCGAGCTGGGGGCAGCGGCCAAGCGTGCCACTGACAAGGCTGCCAGACACCCTCCATGCACTGTCAGCAGGGTAAGATGACGCTCACTGCGTGTTGCAAGTTGAGTATGCCTACACACCCTGCAGAAACTGCAGGCTCTTCCATATCCATGGGCTTTGGTCCTCCAGGCATAGAAACGCTGCAAGACCAAAACCCATCACCTTGCAAAACCTGCTCTCAGTATGAAGCCGGCAAATAGAAGGTGGTAATATAACAGCTGGCTCAGAGAGGATCTGCCATCAACTCAATCCCTATCATTTGGGCCAAGCTGAGCATGACACCCTCCCTAACCCCACTAGGCACATCACACTGACACTGTCTCCTCCAAGAGCAGCCACAGCCTATGAACCGAGATAGCAGCAAACGCCAGCACCTTCAGTGTCATCTCCTGGATCCGTTCCACATGCCTGTTCTTCTGAGGCCCCCTTACCAAAATCAGCAGTATTGCCAAGCCGTATAGATGAGGATGTTTCTAACCTTATTCATCATCTAATTCTCACCTTCAGTGCCCACTGCCCAAAGCAGTAAAAGTTGAGGCACTCTGTGCTCATCCGCAGGGTTGCTGTGTTTTGGAGTCAAGACTGGCAAGGTTATTCTTGCCAGTTTGCTCCCCTGAATCACAAATGATGACCGACTCTTCTCCAGATTATTGATGATGCAGAAGAGCAAATTGTAGTAGGAGGAATCTCTCATTTTGCAAAGGGACATGAGACTCAATGTGTCCTGTTATCCGCATTCATCATATTAGTTTGTTTGTTTACCTCATCAGCTCCTGAAACATTGTCTGCTAAAGAGAGAAATCTCCCTGAGGTTGGCCATGAGCCAGGAATCTGAATTAGCAAAGGGATATTTTAAGGCATCTAGGGTGTTACTGTGTAT